CACTTCCATTTCCAAACATTTTCAAAAGATAAAACGTTTTGTATACGTTCTTATAGAGACGAGAACAATTATAAAACCTCTTTTTTTAAAACACTTTTCAAAACATGATTCACAAACACATCTTTGAACCATTCTTTAAAACAAAACTTTTTATACGTTCTTATAGAGACGAGAACCATTACAAAGAAACTTTCCAAAATACTTTCAAAACCCACACCACAAGCACACAATCAAACAAAAGCAAGTGATCTAAAACGAGTAACTAAGAGCCCATGGAAAACCATGGATGAAAAGGGTGCTAGCACCTTCCCTTTTTATAATCTACCCCCCGAACCCGAGAAAATTCTCGAAAGGTCTTTCCTGTGCTTTTTTACCTTTCCTTTTGGATAAAAGAAAAGTTGGTGGCGACTCTTGCTAACCGCACAAGTGCGAATGAAACGCAAAACCTCTAGTCAGTTGACCTTGGATTCACCATGCTGGAGCCGTCACTTCTACTCTGTATCAAAAGCTCAAGTACCCTGTCCATGGGAAAATTGTAACTGTTCATGGTGAGGAGGAATACATGATAAGCCATCTTAACTCTTTCCGCTATATGGAATTGGATGGTGAATTCATCGAAACCCCCTTTCAGCACTTTGAGGAGGTAGCTCAGGAGATTGCGGCAACCAAGACAGTGGCTTCTGTACCCATAACTACAAGACCTCTGCCTAGGATGTCTTCTTTGAAGGATGCTAAGGCCGTGATTAAAGAAGGAGGTAGCACAATCTGGGGGCAGCTTCCCGATTTTCCCTTTAAATCTGATAAATTCGGCTTGGGTTTCACTGCTTCTGCTCAAAAGGTTGTGCGTCACTCCCGGGCTAGAGGGCCACCAGTGAAGATCACCCATCATGTAGTCAATGCTTTAGAGGATGGTGAAGAGGAGAGCAACTTGGAAGACTGGATTTTCCCTACTGTTGACGGAGGATTGTGCAATTGGGAGGCAAAAGACTTTGTTCCCATTACTTTCATAAATTAGTAATTTATCTTTCAAACATTTCTGTTGGTTTGTAATAATTCTCAAACAATTCGTACTTCTTTTTTAACCTTGTGTCTTACCCGAGGCACAAAGGTCCATTTGTAAGGGTTCTTATTTTTCATCTTCATATGCCATTTAATGAATCATGGACGTTTTCACATATAAATTTTCGTGTTCATTTTCTTTCCTTTTGCATTTTATTTATTTAAAGGTGGCTATCCCTTACACACACCCACACTCACAAATGCAGGTACCCTTCCATTCTGGATTCCATGGGTAACAATTCTGCTATGACCTTCAATGACTCTGAAGATCTAGTCTACCATGCCGGATACGGAGGTGATGAAGACTGTGAAGTGTCGGGAGAATTGGCTAGACTGCTACAACAGGAAGAAAGGGCTATTCTACCTCATGAGGAGCTGTTAGAGACAATCAACTTGGGTACTGAGGAAGACAGAAAAGAAGTCGGAGTGGGTGCCAACCTAGAGCCAAACGTCAAGGAGCGCTTAATTCAGCTGTTGAATGAATATGTTGAGATCTTCGCCTGGTCCTACGAAGACATGTCGGGACTTGATACAGACATTGTGGTACACCGTCTCCCCACAAGAGAAGACTGTCCACCAGTTAAACAGAAAGTTCGCCGCATGAGGCCCGACATGTCAGAAAAGATTAAAGCAGAAGTGATGAAGCAGTTAAATGCTGGATTTCTTGCTGTTACTTCCTATCCATAATGGGTTGCTAACATTGTGCCCGTGCTTAAGAAGGATGTCAAGGTGAGAATGTGCATGGATTATAAAGACTTAAATAAGGCCAGCCCTAAAGACGACTTTCCACTACCGCACATTGACATCTTGGTTGACAATACAACTCAGCATAAGGTATTTTCTTTCATGGATGGATTCTCGGGCTATAACCAGATCAAAATGGCACCCGAGGACATGGAGAAAACAATCCTTGAAATGGTTAGTGAGCATGCATATGATGTTGATGATGTTTATGATGTTTATGTACAAGCAAACATATATACACACAACAAACAGATCCCTATGTTTCAGGCTTGCATGAGTTTGTAGGTAAGTACCCTCTTGAAGTTTTAGTGGGCTCAACCTTTCCTAGAAATAAAGATCGGGTTCTAAAGGGTCTCAATATCAACGACCTTTCTTTTAGGCATTGTCTCAGCACAATCAATCTTTTCTTGCGGCCGAGATATCCCAAAAGTCTAGCCTCAATGAGTGTAGTATCGAGTGTCGACCAATTTTCAGCTTTACACCAAAACCGGTTACCTCACTACGTCCTAATTGCCAAGTTTGTTCAATTAGGGTTCCAAGGTCAATTATTGCTTCACGACGCCACTCAGCGGCCCCGTATTCTCCTCGATTCGCCAGGAGGGATACCGGTACCCACAAATGCGTCACACTAACGTAGCTACTGTTTCAACTGTATCGGTCTACACCATATAATTCCCTCACAGTTTATTGCTACTTACCTAAAAGGTATTTCCCAGATCCAAGTTAGGATCAAAGCAAGCCCAAACAATAGAACCAAAAGATAAAGCATACAAGTCAAGCAAGATAAGCATGTAAAGGTGATCTAAAATCCTAAGGTAACCCCACTTTTTATTTATTCCCCAGCAGAGTCGCCAGTTCTGTGATGCGGTGGGAGAACTGACTAGAGGTTTTTCGTTTCATTCGCACTTGTGTGGTTAGCAAGAGTCGCCACCGACTTTTCTTTTATCCAAAAGGAAAGGTAAAAAAGCACAGGAAAGACCTTTTGAGAATTTTCTCGAGTTCGGGAGGTAGATTATGAAAAGGGAAGGTGCTAGCACCCTTTTCATCCATGGTTTTCCATGGGCTCTTAGTTACTCGTTTTAGATCACTTGCTTTTGTTTGATTGTGTGCTTGTGGTGTGGGTTTTGAAAGTATTTTGGAAAGTTTCTTTGTAATGGTTCTCGTCTCTATAAGAACGTATACAAAGTTTTGTTTCAAAAAATGGTTCAAAGATGTGTTTGTGAATCGTGTTTTGAAAAGTGTTTTGAAAAAATAGATTTTGTAATGGTTCTCGTCTCTATAAGAACGTATACAAAATGTTTTATCTTTTGAAAATGTTTGGAAATGGAAGTGTAGGTGTGAAACTTTTTTTTGTCGGGAGCAAGCGAGTAACTAAGAGCGAATCTATCTACTCGAAAGGTCTTAAATTGTTCTTTTTTCATCCTTTTAATGGTGCTATCTTACCATTAATTTGGTAAGAATCCCCATCCTTGGATGTGAAGGGACAGGCGCGGGTCAATTTTACAATCATTGAAGGCAACTTGTGAGACGCTCTAGCAATTTTATAAGGGACATGATCGTTTTATCAAAGGCAACATCGAGGGTCATCGAGGGACTACAATCTTTGTTTGTCGAAGGGTCATTTTCTAGAGTGTCTCATATTCGAGGGACATGATTGTATTTCCGAGGCAACAAGCGGGGTTACCCTAGAGGTGCGCATGTGAGAAGTGTGTTGATTTCAAGTTATTTATTCTTAGATTAGGTCATCTAGCGATTGATTTTTGAATCTTGCCATACATGCCTAATTACTATACAGTATATTGAAAGCAATAAATTGCGGGAATAAAAAGTCTAAACTATTACAAAATTATCCGGGAATGGGGGTAATTATTACAAATGGGGATGAATCACATAAGAATAGCAATGTCCGAATTAGGGGTGGGCACCGGTTCGGGCCGGTTCGGGTTCGGGCCCAAACCCCCAATCCGAAGTTATCCACGGGTGGTATATTACGACCCAAATCCGACCCAATTATGATTCGGATTAGTCGGGTTCGGGTTGCATCGATTTCGGGTATCTATAGGATTAATTTCGGGTACCATTTTTAATGGGCTTATTGAAATATTAAGCCCAAATTCAGAATTTAGTAGTTTTACCCCCTTTTTTTTGTACAGTTTTCAAAATTTTCATTTAACTACTTAAAATTTCCAAAAAAAAAAATGACATACTCTATAATATAAATTCATAGTTAAAAAACATTACAAATTAACATAGTATCAAATTCAAATACATTACAAACTCCAATTCAAATACATTAAAAATTCCAATTTAAATAGATTACAAATTCCAATTTAAATAGGTATCAAATACATTACAAATTCAATTAAATTTAGCAAAGCCTACATAGTAACACAACCAACATATAAACTCCAATTCTTTGAGATTAATCCATTCCATAAAATAACCGGGAAGCTTCTTGCACTCCTGCACTCCTGCATAAAAGCTATTTGTTCCGTATGAAACAGTCTCAAGCTAAACATGGACAAACAATTGCTAAACTAAATAGTATAGTAATTACAGATATTTATGGCACTTGCAAACATAATTAACAAAAAAATTAAAGTAAATTGGAACTACAGTATTTGACTTCATATGAACTATATGAGAGGTACTCACCAATTCTCACTCATGAACTATATGAAGTATATATTAGCATCTTTACTATTCAAAATTAAAACAACAGAAGCTGGGACACAAAATCTATTTCTTCTTTTCTTGCATCATGCCAACAACTAAAGCCCTTATGAATCTTGTCTAAAGCTATAATGACAGGACATGAAAGCAGTTCCTATATAAGATATATAAAAAGCATAAACCCCATTCCCTTCTTTAACATCCAAGTAGAGTAACTTAAAAGTCCATTTTTCAGTCATAATTTCACAGGCAGGCATAAATTAAAGAATAATAAGTCACACTTCTCATTTCAGAAGTCACACAATCAACAATAAAATAACACATTCACAAGTCACACTTCGCATTTCAGAACAGCATTCACAAGTCACAACTTCAAAAAGCAAAATCAAAACATTCAAAAATTAAACGCTACCTGATCTTTATCATCGTGACAGTCTGATGCTACTGTTGAACAAGGCAAGAACTATAATTGGACTGCAGCAAGAGAACCATCTTTCTCCCTTGTACCCAACACAGCTCTAGAGTCACCAATGTGGACTTCCTTTGAAAGAAAGCATTGAGGATGAAGAATTTATCTGGTCCAGAACAAATCATAACTCAGAGATGATCTCCATAAATAAAAAAAATCAACCAAACATAAATTCTACTTTTTGAAGCCCTCTAAATTATATTTTCTTTCTACCACATGCTTATTATGCCAATGCCATATAGTTTTTAAGTAATAAAAAGATGGAACAGAGATGAGAAGTGCAATGCTTGTGTAATAAACAGATATGTTCCAGATCTCCTCTCATTTTTTATGTTGGTGTTGGTGTTCACTACTGAAATACATAAGGAACAGAGCCACACCACCAATTTATTATATAGCACTATTTGCACACGACTGATACCGGAGCAATAATCTATGAATCATGTAAATAAGTGAAAAATGAATTGTTACCTTTAAGAATCGCGAACAGTTTTTGGGGATTGAGTTGTCTTTCACATATGCTACCTTGTTACCTCTATATTCTTCGGGTACACAATCATTGTCATATCTGTCCACAATTTCAACAACCTAGATATCCATTGTTCAAAAAAATATCACAATAAGCATATGGATGTTGATTGGAAAGGAAAAAGATAAAGAAATTGCATAGCATGAATGTAAGAAGAAATGATATATACACTATACGATGCACGGAGTGTAACAATTCCAACAGGAATAAAAATCAAACCCATCAACAGAAATGTAGAAATGACCTGCAAAGAACATGATTGAGAATTAGAATGCACACTTTTCACAAAGGCACCATAAAATATTCAAGTATTGTAAAAGAACTAACTGCCGCAGGTGTAAGGACGGGTTTACATGCTGGAAGGTTCTGCTGTGTAAACTGATGGAGTGCTGCAAGACCACCACAAACAGCATCAATTATCATAACAAGTTGAAAACCAGGGCAAAAAGAAAGTAAAAAACCCACCACCATGTCGTACAGGGCGTCCTGGATTAGCCCGTGCACTCGTGCAATATAGGTAGTTTTAAGCTATTACGAAATTAAAAAGCATCAACTAACACTTTTAAAAATCATTTGGAATTGCTAAACAATTTTAATAGAACAAATTGATTGCAGATCGCAGAAAATTACAGTTTGTTCAAGTTTTGTTATGTCGGCAATACTTTGAATTCGATAGTGTGTCACAAAACAATAGTGATTTGTTCAACTAGTGCTACATTACAGATAGCACTGCTATAGAATCACTAGTTTTCCATAGATTTACAAGTCAATACCTGCTTAACCAAAGTTCTGGAGCATAACATATAGTTCTTTTAATTTCACTCAGGCACTTCGCAAAAGGTTTAACATCATCATGGCCGTCAGTAGCACATACTAGCAATATAAGCTCTGTACCTGTGAAACAAATACTAGCAATATAAAAAGGGTAAAATTGATCATCACCTTTGCAGCTGAATGAGACTTTGAAGCGAAAATAAGAGAAAAATACAGGGTGAGAAAGCGAAAATACCAGCTGTATCCCAGAGGCCTAAATTGACAGTTATGCCTTCAAAAACGCCGGAAGACGCGGTCTTAATGCAAGAATCAAAACTGTTCAGCATGTATACACATATTAAACAAAAAAATCAGCAAGTAATTAAACTTACTATCGATATTTAGTTCTTGGACAACGCTCTCAAAAGTATCTTGGATCAAAAGTCGTTGGTTGTGTTGTGGCTTCAAAATAATGAGTCATAAGACTCCAAAAAATTCAGCAATACTGCAAATACAACTAGAAACATTAGAAAACATACAATTTTACAACTACTGCAAATTTAGCTTCTGAATATTCAGGAAGTCTTTAACCTGAAGTTGTTTCAAGCACAGCCAGAAGGCTGTGACTGAGTCTGAGCAGACGAAATTTCAGCAAATCCTATTACACATATTAAAAGGCATTGACATTGAGGTGAGCAGCAGGGAATGAAAGTAATATTTCAGCAACATATTACAAAATAAATTAAACAACCACACTTAAGATAAAAATAATACCTTGTAAAGCATCTTCCGAAATCTCATACTCCTTATTGAATTCCAAGTCTTTGAATTGGTAAAAGGAAGGCCTCAACCAGTTCTGAGCACAAATTAATGCCTCCGCCATTTCTGGTTTGAGAGAGCTTCTATATACCTCTAAAACCCTTCCACCCGTGCTAAAAGCACTCTCAGAAGCTACGGTTGACACTGGCGTTGGCATGATATCCCTAACTATTTGGGACAGAACTGGGTATTTCCCGACATGATGTTTCCACCAACCAAGAATGTCAAAAGTGTCTTTATCCTTTTCATTAAAACTTATGCACTTTCCTTTTATATAGTTTTGAAGTTCAGTTTCTTCTTCAACTGCATCCAAAGACATCAAATGTTGTTGAAACGCATTTGCCCTAGCTACGGATGTGGGTAATTCATCGCTGGCTGCTGTTTCACCATGAGAAACAGCCGCTGCAACAGATGGAATTAAGCCTCCAGCAGTGTCGTATTGTTGTTTATAAAGGTTGAACATGGTTAAAAGATTGTCATTTATATCTTTTAATAGTGATTTACTAGTTTCCGAATTTTTTCCATACATATCATCAAAACACCATTCCACAAATCTCAACTTATATCGGGGATCAAAGATAACACCAAAATAAAGGAGTTGGTTCATCTTTGTGATATCAACCCAATATTTACTATACTTTTCCAGCATATCCCTAGCCACCTCAGCAAACAATCCATTAAGGTCCATATTTAACCTCTTAAGTTCAATGTAAATTGAAGCAAGGTATGGAAAAGCAGTATGCAAACTTGCTTTTGTGGAAACAGAAAAAATCTTTGTGGCTTCATAATAGTTCTTCAAAAACTTAATAAAAACCCTAACATTATCCCAATCTTGACTACTAGGGGGGGAGTCAACCTCAAATAAATCCCTATAGGCTTCATCCGCATCTTCTAGCTTCTCAAAAGCACTTTGAAACTTCTCCGCGGAATCTAACATCAAATATGTCGAGTTCCATCTAGTTGAAACATCAAGACATACTGATTTCTTGCATAAAATCCCAGCATACTCCACACATTCTTTGAACTTTAAAGCCCTATGGGGTGAAGATCTAACAAACCTAATTGCATTTCTCACACTTGAAATTGAGGTGTTGGCAACTTGTAATCCATCTCTCACAATCAAATTCAGCACATGTGCACAACACCTCATGTGAAAACCAAATCCATCCATTAAGAGGCCATTCATGTTTCTTACTTTTTGTTCTAAATATTTAACAGCAACATCATTTGAGGTGGCATTATCTACCGTGATGGTAGAAACATTTCTTAGCCCCCACTCCTTTAAAACATCTTCAACCTTCTTACCAACAGTTTTTCCCCGATGGTTTGGGATACTCGTAAAGCTGATTATCCTCTTTTGGTATTGCCATTCTCTATCAATAAAATGGGCCGTGAGGGTCAAATAGTTCAGATTTTGGACAGATGTCCAACAATCGGTTGTAATTGCCACCCTACTACAATCAGAATTAAAGAACGCCCTCAACCTCACTTTCTCATCAAGATATAACTGAAAGCAGTCTCTAGCTATAGTTCGCCTAGACGGTATAGAAAATTGGGGCTGCATCTGCCTACAAAAGTACTTAAACCCCTCTCCTTCCACTGTACTAAATGGTTTTTCATCCAAAATGATAAAATAAGCCAACCCACTTCGACAAGCTACAGGATTAAACCTAGAACTTAATATTTCCTCAGTTGTTGAATATGACAAGATTGTTTGGGTAGTGTCTGTGGACAAGTTCAACGGATACTTGGGACATGTTTTCATGTGACTCTTTAAGTTTGATGTTCCATGTTTCTTAGAGTCACACATATACTTTTGATGGCAGTACTTACAAGCAGCTGTTGGTGGGTCACTATTAGGAATAAGGTTAAAATGATCCCAAACCTCGGATCTCTTTCTATTACCATTTGCATTGCGTCTTCTTTTCCTTGGGTTAGTTGGTGGAAGTTCGGGTATTGTTGTAGTTTGATGATTAGGTTGGGAATGTTCATTGGCATTTGGTGTGTGTTGCCTAGATGCTGAAACAATTTGTTGGTGTTTAGGTTTTAAAAAACTATGCCAAAATTATACTAAAAAAACATCAAAGTAAGCCTAAAATTACCGGTATTTTGCATATCTCTAACTCCACCAGTTCCATGCTCATCTCCCTCTCCTTGCACATGTCCAACTCCATGCCCATGTCCAACTCCTTGCATTTCTTTACCTCTTTGCATTTAAAACAATATATTCAAAGTTATTAGAGCTAATCAAATTTAAACTGAACTCTTTTAAAGTTATTAGAACAAAATAAAACAAAACTAACACATACTTTCTTCAATTCTCTGAAGAGATTTCTCAGTAACACTGTAATGAAAACAACAACAGTGATTAAAATATTGAAAACAACAAAAACTGAACATTGTATTTGAACTATTGAAACGAAAATAAATAAATAAATACTGAGTTTATATGAACCTTAATAGCTCCAACACCAAAACTGAACTCAGAAAAAAGCTTTCTCCTATGTGACGAAAATGACGAGTTTAGAATAAATACCGAGTTTCTAATCCATTGGAAAAAAGAACAAATCAAAATAAAAAATAAAAATCTGAACACAAACCTCTTTGAAAACAAAGAAACGACACGGCGGCGCAGTGGTAGAGCTCGTTGTTCAGTGGAAGAGATTTCGTTGAGGACGACACGGCGGCGCAGTGGATGGTTTACGTTAGGGGTTTTGCTTGGGGTGACGGCGCCGGTGGTAACATTGTTACTGTCTTTTAGGGTTTTTCTTTTAGAACTGAGAAGAAGAAGAAAATTACATGAAAAGAGGAAAATTGATGGAATGGGGCATATCGTTTAAGAACACATCAAATTGGACCGGTCGGATTCGAGTACCGACGGGCCCAACTAATTGAACCGAAACCGACTTGATTTATCCATGCTTACCCGATTATCTCACCCGATCAACCCGTGCATCCGAAATAACCCGATCCGCAGCTGCTATATACATTCGGTTCGGGCGGGTATTTTCGGGTGGTTCTCTTCTGTCCACCCCTAGTCCGAATAATACAACCAAATCGAATTGTTGTGCGATTCAATATGAAACTATGACAATTTATGCAATAAAGAAATCAATAAAGTATGAAATGCAATGTATTTACTTGAAAAAAAATAAAATTCAATCTAAAAAGAAAAATGATTTAAATTAAAAATCTTTATTATATTTTTTGTATTTTATTAATTTTAAAAGAAAAGTCTAAAGAAAGAAACTTAACTAAACTAATTCTTGATTTTTTTTTGGTATTTTATTAAATGTAACAAATTAAAAATAAATCACAAAAGAAGAAAATAGTGAAAATTTGAGTTTTAAGACTTAAAAAAAAGTATTAGAAGCAAACTAAATTTTAATCAATAATTTTCAAAACAAATAAAATAAATTAAAGGAAGAAAATGGGCTTAAGGTTTTTTTTGGAAAAGAAATGGCCCAAAGAAATTATTGTTTTATTGAAACAAAAACAAGGCAAAGGGGGGTGGGAACCGGAAAATGTGCGTGGGCTTAAGGTTATGCCAAGATAGGCCCAAAGCTCTTAATCTTGCTTATTGTGTTTGATTAGGGTAAACAAGAAAAAATTAGGGTTTGCTCTCTTGCGCTCACAGCGGCGCCGCTCTGTTTGTCTCTCTCACTTCTCTCAAATTCATTCATCTTTCTCGCTCTGAGTCCCTAATCGTTACTGAATCATGAGGGAACGCTTTTTTTTTCTGGGTAAAACCTAGGTTCTGAGATGGAATCATCTAAAGGGTTTGACATGCATGCTTATTCTGATCTTCCTCTCACCCCTATTACCGGAGCCCCTCTCTCACTACCTAAACAGATGCTAATGGTTCTGTTCTTGAAAGGGTATGATTCTGTTCTTTTTGTTACGATTTTGTTTGATGGTTAAACGAGTTTTTGTTTTTGTTTTGCCTTATTCACGTTTTCTCTGTTAACCTATTGTGCTATATGTTTGAGATGCAGTAAATAGTTTGACAAGAAATATACCTTTGGAGCTTTTTTTGTGAGAGGATAGTGAGATTTGAGATGAGATGCTCCCTGGTGACGTGCTAGGCAAGGAGGAAGAGATGATGAAGGATGCGCGCTTTTGGTAACTTTTCTTTTTCTGTCCTTTATGTTGAACGATGACGTTGATGCTTCTGAGTCTCCTTAGCCCCTTTGGTTCTTGAACTGTTTTGTTGCATTGATACTGTTTGTGAAAGTTTGAGATTTTGTGGCTTTGTATTGAAAATGGTTTTTGAGATTGGTTGGTAATGGTTGGACAATTTTGGATTTTTTGTGAATGTTAGATTGTTGGGATGTTGATGGTAGTTTGGTATGATTTCTTATGGTTTTTGTTGTTGTACATTTCAAATCCGGGTTAGGATCAAAGCAAGCCCAAACAATATAACCAAAAGATAAAGCATACAAGTCAAGCAAGATAAGCATGTAAAGGTGATCTAAAACCCTAAGGTAACCCCACTTTTTATTTATTCCCCAGTAGAGTCGCCAGTTCT